ATTCTTTAATAATCTCGGGTAAAAATTTTAACCTAGGATCATTAGAGGAAAAAATTGCTTTTGGGTTAAAACTTAAATTTTTGCTAAATTAAAATTTTTAAGTTTAACCCAAAGATTAGAGACGATCTTAGATAATGAGAATATTCCACAAAAGTTTGGCTTTATGTTTCTTGTAAAAACGCCAACCTCGCTATTTTATAATGAGAAATTTCCAAATTTTGTTGTATTTTACAACAGAGGCATAAATATGTGATAATTAGGGTATTAGATAAAAAGGCATCCATAAAGAAAAACTCTAGGAGAAATTTAATCAAACATTTTGTCTTTCACTTTAAAGAAATACTCAATTAATGTTGGGGCCAACTAACAAACAATGATAAACATGCACTATCATTCATGAAGGAGAAGGATGATCCAACATGAAGCTTTGATTTGGAATCATATACCCAACGTTCGTCTTCTTACTATCTAATAAGATAACATTATTCTCATGACAATAACAAAAAATTTATTCATGTAAAATTATTATATAATAATTAATTTAATTCGAAATCGAATTAACCTAATATCGGCGTATTCAGCTCATATTGAATGAATAATCCGATTTAATATCATTATTTGAGATTTGTAATTATGAATCGGAAAGTGAAAAAAATAAATTGCAAATCAGATGGAATGTGTGGCATGCAAGTAATATAATCCGAATTACGTGGGGTTGCTAAGACACCCTTTTACTCCTAGGACAATGATAAAAACCTTGATCACCTTTTGGCAATCGTCAACCTTTCAAACTTTAAGCTTAATTAATTAACTAAAAAAATAATTAACCAGGAGACAAAGAAATGATCATACTATTTAATATTATTAGCGTTAATGCGAATGCCACTTCTCTATGCGTGCCTCGTATACAGAGTTGAAAATCAAAGTACACACAATGAATGGACGAATAAATGGATTACTAAATTAGGAATAGTATTGGAAATGAAGAAACACTAGAACAACTACATAACTCAAAAAGACTACATTTGTGACTAACTTATTATTTTATAGAACTAACATAACTCTAATAGGTAAGGAAACGAAACCCTAATTTTAGCATGCTAGGCTCAAAAAAAACCAAACATTAAAATAAAACTAAAGGCAAATACTTTTCAAAATATAGTGGCATGACATGCATAATTTATACTCTTTTTTTTTTTTTTCCTTACAGAAAAAAGAAAAAGATGTTTTTAGTTGTTCTCTATCATGTATTTTGTAGTAGTGATGAGAGTTGATGATAGATTAATATAATGCTAACTACATTGTGAATTAGATTATAATATACAATGCTACGGAGCACTATAGACAGAGTCGAAGTCTTAATAAATCAACAACGAACTTGGAGAATACAAATTTGTCCATCTGAAAACACAACAAAGACGATTTATAGATGTCGGCTAGCCATCGCATTTTTTATAGTAGCGATAAGAGAGTTAATAATATTTATTTTCTCAATAAAAAAACAAACAAACAAAAGTGTCTTCAAATAGATTAATATTAATGGCTTAACAATTTCAGTGGGAGTTAGGTTAACACATACTTTATGGTTGGTGGTTTCGAGTTGAATTAGATATCAAAGAAAAATTCTGATCACTGATGGCGGAAGGTGTGGGAATATCCGTGCCTGCAATTTGTTGCATGTTTCTTCTCACCATTCTTGGCTTGAAATTATGCCCTGCTAGGCAGGTGGTTGTGTTGTTGACAACAACGTTGTTAGTCTGAAACTCCTATGCCTTTGTGGACGTTGCGAGCCGCCGACTGATGGCAAGAGAAACTCAAATTCCCTTCCCCTCCCCCAAAAAACCCTCCAGTTCATACCAATCCACTGGGCTCCAGGGAGCCCGACTTTTCCCCCAGGCTCGAATCGACATGCCCAACAACTGAGGTAATGTGATGTCAGCCACAGTTGAAATTTTTTTGGCACCAAGAGTGTGGAAAACATGCACGAGTGGACGCTTGTCTCTGACAACATTACATGGGGAAAGTTGGACCGTTAGATTTCAAACGGTAAAAAAATTTAAAATCTAACCCCAACGGCTAGACAATGTGTCGCAATCTGGACCATTTAATTTTCCAATAAGCGGTCCAGGTTTGTTGGCTTAAAAAAAAAAAAGAGAAATGTTACCGTTGGCTATGTGTCACCATTGGGCTGTTGGATTTCAATTTTTTTGTAATCCAATGATCTAGATTAATTAAGTTAATAAAATTACAAAAACTATAAAATAAATTATAATCTTTTTTTCTATAAAACTTATCGGAAATCTATCTACAAAATTCTTACATAATCATGACACGTGGTGCCATGGAATTTGTTAAAAATCTACTCGAAAATCTATCCACAAAAATTGTACGTTTAGACAATAACACATGACATGATGAGATTGGTTAAAAATTATACCCAAAACTAAAAATAAAATCATCTTTTATTATTTTATAAAAAAATATTTTAATACCAATAGCCTAAGCTATTTAGTTTAGGAGTAAAGATACACTTGGACAATTACTGTTCACTAAAGGCAATTAATGTTCATTTTGGGGGATTGAGTTGTCTATAGCCTAGGGATCGTTTAGGGGTGGAGTTGCTCTTACAATGCTCGTTTTTGCTTACACTGGTTTTATAACTTTCTTGTCAACAATATACTATATATACACATGTGTCTTTTATGCAAATGGATCTTTTATTTTTTTGATAAAAATGGGGACTACTTGTGGAGCCTATCCATATTGAATTTCAACGATTTGAATCATTTATTTTTCAAGTTGTACTTATAGATCATCATTGCAAAATATTAGCTCAATTGAGTTTAAAGAAAATAACGAACACTGTGTTTTACGAAACAATGAAATTTCATCATGACAATCAAATGGGTAAATGATTTCGGATTGAAATGATTTTTTACAAGGATGATCTATGAATGAAAACCCAAAAAATAGTCATACACTGACTAGGTTTTAACGAGGCATTTAACCTAGAATAGTCATGCCCTTGTGTATGTCAAGTAGACACTTAAACTTGATTTTGCATTACTTGTTATAAAAGGGTTAAAGTTTGAGAGAATAACCTTTTTAATGGTAGGTGCAAGGCAGATGTAAAATGCCACACTAAAACTATAGCACAGGCAGATAACAAATAAAAGCAGAGAAAATAGATGATGTTACTGATATTTTTCTCTCGTTCACTTCTTCTTTTCTTTCCTTGTAACTTAAAAACATGCGGAGTGCTCTATTTATAGAGTAACTCCAAACTGATGCAGTTAATGCATCTTGAAATTTATGAAACTTCGTCTGACTATACAATCTCTTTCACTTTGCATGGGCATTGAAAACTTTGCCCATGCAGAAGACTTTCACAAATGAAACTGTGGGCATTCATTGCCCATGAGACTTTTCAACATTACTCACCTTTTTCTTTAGACTATAGTTTTTTTTTCCCATATTGGGTTTTACAAAGCCGGCTTTGTTAGACTTGTTTTTATATGCAAGTTCCTTGTTTCAGATTAGCATGCTACTTTATCATTGTCAACGAGACCACTTCATCAACCATCTTTGTAAGATATGATGTGATAACTACTTGAGTATTTAGATATTCAAGGTGGAGTGTTGTAATTAATATTTAGTACATGTGTGATTTTGTAAATCCAAGATAAATTGGGTTTACGATTACTCTTTATTCTTGTGATTTTTTTCCTATTAAACTTTGTAAGTTTGTATTACCTGGAGAAAAAATTTCTCTCTTCTGATGATTTATTATAAATAAATGCCCTGGCACAAGGAAAATACATCCTACAATTTTCCTTTGCCTAATTCTCTCCACTTTCTCTCTCTCTCTTGCCGCACCTTCTCTCTTCTTTTGGTCAATTGGCCACAATAGTTTGTGATAACAAAAATAACAGTGCGACAATCATCCTTTTTATTAGTTTCTCTAAAATATTTAACTTTGCCCTCATTAGTTGTCAATTTTTATTCACATTATTATGAAAAATCAAAAAAAGAAAAAAAAAGAAAAAAGAAAAAAGAAAAAAGAATTAAAATTAATGTGAAAAAGGAAAATGAATTAAAATTAATAAGAAGGACTAGCCGTGATTTAGCCTTTAGAGATACGCTAAGCTAGAATAATTCAAAATTCGTGAGATAGAGATTATTATGCGTACTAAAATCTTACATGACATGACAAGTGATATCACAAACACATGTATTTTCAGTCACTCAATGCATTTTTTGGTAAAATATCACTAGTTTCGATTAAGTTAGGATGATACTATCAACATATTCATTTTTACCTTCCACACCCTTCTTAATTTTAACCATTAAATCAAATGAATTGAAGATAATCAAAAAATATAAATTAACAAAAAGTGTGTAAAATATAAACATGAGTATGTGAATAACACCGCGCTTTAAGTTAACATTGTTGGAAACTTGTCTACAATACAAAATGCTTATATTGATTTCGTAAGACCCTTTTCATTCTTCTTTGAAATTCAATAATAAAAGGGAAATATTATTGACATTTCAAAAATCTCATTCTATACTCCTCACAAATGTATTTTTCTTTCTAAATATCAAAAGTTTGGAGTGTAGAATGAAAAATTTGCAGTATCAATAACAATTCCTTAATAAAAACTAGACTATTATATTAGCATTTGCACAAACAAATTTCACTTTGTTGTGGCAAATATTAAAGGAATATTGAGAATAAGACGCAACTCCACTTGCACAAAATAGGGTCGGTGTTTATTATATTACTTTTATTTTAGTCTATTAAATGTACTTTTATTTAAGACTAATGTTAGAGAGATTAAATTTGTAAATTAAATATAAAGATGGTTGATTGTATTATTACTTAATTATTAATAAAAGTGTTTATTTTTTATTAATGACTTCTTATTTAATTTGCTAATTTATTGTACAAATTTAATCTACCCAGTAGCATTACCGATTGTTTAATGGAGATGTAGACTTTGCAGTGGGTAGGACCTGCTGTTGTATGAAGCTCCTCCTACAACTACAAATTAAATAGATTCCAAACACTCTCTGCGAGCTAAAGAGAGTAAGAAAGCACCAGCTCAGATCTGAATCGCGCCCTAGATCTCCTAGTCCAGCTTTTCCCGCTGCATTTTCCTCAGGTTTCTCCCCATTTACTTCTCGCATCATTGCTTTTTGCTTTGCCTTTTCGGATTCCAGATCCGTTTATGTGAATTCAATCGACTGATTTTATCCGCAAATTAGCTTAATTTACTGCTTAATCGATCATAATTTGAATTGTGTATTGATTTGGGCGAAGATTGCATTATTATGCATGTGTTTTTTGAGTTCTTGCTAATTTCGTAGTCGATTGGATATATGGGTTGGTTTTATTTGCAAGATTTTTGAGCTCAAACTTGCATGTTTCAGTGGAATCTTCCTCAATTTCTCAACTTTTAGATTGATATTGCTGCATTCGTTGATGGTTTGTGGGTAGATTTATGTGAGAAGCAATATTGTGTATAATATGGAGTAGCTGGCAGAGTGCGGTATATCTGTATGGGTTTGAATTGATGTTTGGAATGCGAATTTTGTGTTTGATGTGGATGCCGAAAGATCTCTCTGCGGCTTTTTCATAGATGTTTGTGCCGGTTTAATTTGGATGATGTGAATAACTTGAGATCAGTGAGTAGAAAACAGTTAGAAAAACGTTTCGGCAGAAGGCATTTGGAAACACTGCTAATGGAAGTTTTTTTCTTCAACTTATGCTACTTCTGGCAGGATTTCTAGTTTGCAGAATTTATAGTCATGTCGAGGAGGCCAGTAAATCCTTCCAGACGCATTGGTGATGGTGGAAGTATCCCATTTGTGGGTGCGGTGCAATCCAAAGCACGCTCATCACCTCTACTGTCCATAGGACTTGTGCTTGTGGTACTTTCTATCACCATTTTCTTCCGGTGCATCATTATTTTTTTTTTGAGATCATGGTGTAATCCTAACATATCCAGAAACAAACAGTCCTGACAAAGTTGAGCACAAACAGATGACTAAAATGTGTCCACTATAAATTCAATCCTAGTAGTAATACCGTCACTGAACCCAATTACACGAGCAGGTCTAGTTTCTTTAGGAAAATACTGACTATTAACTTTTAAATTTCAGGGTGCAGTTCTTCTCGTCTTCTACGCTTTTAGCGGGTCAGGTTAGTAGTTGTTTTGACTTCTACTTGCAAGTGAGGTTTATCAAAAACAATATTTCCTAAAATTATGGTATGAAGAAGTGTGATTCAAATGTCATCCCAACTCTAACAAAAAACGTTGATGGGGGCATATATCTTTCCATTCACCTTTCAAGAAAAGTGTTTAGGCAAGCTATGCAACTCTGACAGCTACCAACACTGTCCTTTCTACGTTCCATTTTGTTCTCAATTATTATGGTTTGTATTACAGGTGGCCAGAGCACTAAAGAGGCTGTAATGAAACTTGAAGGTATATTTCATGATCTATTCTATTGTCTAGTGTCCATAACTCTTAAAAAGTTTTGGGTTATCGAATGCAATAGCACACATACTTACCAAAATGGGATGCTAGAATTCCATATTGTCTATCATAAATTTCTTACATTGCATCCTTGAACTCACTAGTTATCTATATATGTTTTATTTAGCGAGCCTATCCAATTCTGTTGGATTCTCGGTAGAATTGTATAGATTCCGTCAGGAGTTGGTGTAATAGTTTTTTGTCCCAGAGGAACAAGGCTGTACAGAATTATTCTGTTGAACAGTTCAGGCAAACTGATCTTAGTTGTTTCAAAATATGTAAATATCATTATAAAGTCTCCGTTTCCTTTTATTTTAATTTACTTTTTTTAAGAATTAGAAACCCTTTGCTGTGAGAGAATTTTTTTCTGTATTTTTGTGTTGTATTTTAGCATGTAGGTTTTTCCAGGTACAAAAACTATTTTAGAGTTTGAAAATCTCTAATTTGTACATGTAGGTGGTTTTTCGTGTACATTTGAAGTTCAAAGAGTAATACCTATACTAAAGAAAGCATATGGTGATAGCATGCGTAAGGTGTTGCACGTGGGCCCTGAAACCTGCTCAGTGGTATCTAAATTACTAAAAGAAGAGGATACTGAAGCATGGGGTGTGGAACCATATGACTTGGAAGATGCTGACGCAAGTTGCAAGAGTCTTGTTAGCAAAGGCATTGTGCGGGCGGCTGATATAAAGTTTCCACTGCCATACCGGGCAAAATCTTTTTCTCTCGTAATAACATCGGATGCATTAGATTACTTGTCTCCAAAGTACCTCAACAGAACTCTTCCAGAGTTGGCGCGGGTATCTGCTGATGGTGTTGTTATCTTTACTGGTAAAATTTTCTCAGTAAACACACCACCCCACCCCCTGTCCAAATGAGATTTACTGATGGTATTTGTCTGCATCTCTATTCAAAATCGGTTAGCAGAAGCTAATACTTCAACTTAAATGGTGGAGGTGCAGGCGTACTGCCTTACTGATCAAAATCTAAACACAATCTTTTAGTTGGTCATGCCCGTGATTGATTATACAAATCATACATGACAGTTATTGTTCTCTTTGAATTTTTACGTACTTGTCGTTTCCTTTTATAGGTTATCCAGGTCAGCATAGAGCTAACGTTGCGGAGCTATCCAAATTTGGCCGTCCAGTAAGTTATTAATGTTTAATAACACATTGATGACAATTGCTGGTGCAATACTATTTTTGCTTCTCAATTTCATTTTCTTGCTTTCATTGTATGGATGTGGCAAGTTTAACTTCCTATTAACTTTACAAAAGTTAAATCTGGAAGAATGACGCAATGATTTTTTTTTGAAGGCGAAATTGCGAAGCTCATCTTGGTGGATAAGGTACTTTGTTCAAACAAGACTAGAAGAGAACGAAGCGGCCTCAAAGAAGTTTGAACAGGCTGCACTAAAGAAATCTTACACACCTACCTGCCAAGTTTTCCACCTCAAGTCATACCACTAAAATTACAAATTTGCATCTTTACTCTATCAGCCTCTTGGTGAAAACACCGAGTACAAAACGTTTTCAGCACCCGAAGGGTAAGTTTATATTTAATGGGAATACAGAGCCAAATTGTGCGCTTGGGTTTGATGCATGACCTTCCGATCGATCTGTGTAGGCAAAAGTGAGTTCTCATGTGTTGGCTTTCATCCTCACTATGTATTCTTTGGCATGATGTATTTGTTTTTCCTCAACGTTCTTGCTCCTTCTTGTTGTTGCTGTAATAGATTGGTTAGTACTCTCTACATCTATTTTTGTTTATTATATTTATAAAACACAAAGGTTGTTCTTTTGTGACCGAAAGATCACAGATTCGAGTCATGGAAACAACCTCTTTGCAAAGTAAGAGTATGGCTGCGGATGATAGACTCCGCCCTCCCCGCTTGTTGGCTTTATAAAACACAAAATAATTTCTTAGTGATCACTATAATATCTCATGAATGGATGGCATCTTGTCCCTTATGGTTAAAAGGAGACGATGATCCAATGATTTTCCAAAACAACTGATCGCCAGATTTACCACATCCAGACTCCGTTAAATTTTTAAAAGGGCATGGTATTTACTCTCCGAGATTATTTCTCGACACACCCCTCATCATTTTTGGCGTTTGGATTGAATAAATCAAAGGATAATTAAGGGCTTTTGGATTGTATAAATCAAAGAATAATTGAGGGATGGAAACTAAGAGGAGCATGCAGGGGTTGAGAAAGGGTGTGAAAATGATTTCGTTTTGAGAAACTACCACATCATTTGGTGAATATAGCTTACTAGTGTAAGGAACCTTGGTTATTCATTTACTGTCTAAAATAAAACTAAAGTTGTACTGTATCTTTTCAAACTCAAAATTGTCACTTAAGTTCTTAAAAGCTTTTAGGTTTTCCCTACAACCTTTTGAAACTCAAAATTTTCACTTAAGTTCATAAAGCTCACAATTGCTTGCGACAATATATCAAGATGCATTCTAAGTACATTTTTTCGGAAGCACTTCAAGCATTTTAATAGAAGTGCTTCTAAGTTTAAGCAAAAGTGCTTTTACAAGAAGAAGTCCAAGAAAAAAAAAATTAAAAAAACTGAGCAGCAAAGTGCTCTTATAACCCTTATTTTTTGCTGGAGAAGTGCTTTTATGAGTTGGAGTTGGCAGTTGAGGCTATAACCTGCGCCAAAAATCATCGACGACGGTGAAGGCATGGCCTCCAGAGACCAACACTCTCAACAGCAAAACCAGACGAGGAAAGTCCCACTCTTCCCTCTCCTCTCCCTCGTCTGCTTCGTCTCCATCTTCCTCCTCATCTCCTTCATTCTGAAGACCTCCGTTCCTCCGCGGCCTCATAACGCCAGCTTCGAATTCCAAAAGACTGAAGGATCCAACCCGAGTCTCCGGGGCGGGTCGTGCGACTACTCCGACGGAAGCTGGATCCGGTCTCCGGATGATCCTCCGAGGTACGACAATACCTGCAAGGAAATATTCAAGGGATGGAATTGCATCTCCAGCGGCAAATCCAACGGTCGGGAACTACTCAAGTGGAGATGGAAGCCCAAGGGTTGTGATCTACCGCCGTTCCATCCGATTAGGTTTCTGAAGATGTACAGAGACACCAGCATTGGTATTCTCTCTTGCTTATATTTGCGTGTTGGTTTTGAAGTTATTTAGTTGTGATGTGAAGTTATTGTCTGTTTGGTTGCCGAGAAAGAGTGAGAAAATCTTGCATTTGATGCTATGGCAAGACATAAACAAACTGAAATCCGGAATTTTGAACTTTATATTACTTGATTGAATGCAGGCCTTTGTTTTCTTAGCTACTTAATTCTAATTGACGTAAAGTTTAAGTTTTTTTCGGATATCTGATAAACCAGCATTTGGTATTTAGTTTAAACGTCGCATCAAATGCAATAAATAGGATGATTTGAAAGGCTTTGTGGTAGAGTGATATATTTTGAATCCTGGGTTGTATGTATGGAAACCTTATGGGTGTTCTACAGTGTAGGGTTCGTTGGTGATTCATTGAACAGAAATATGTTTGTTTCGCTTTTCTGTTCTCTAAAACGAGTGTCAAGTGAAGTGAAGAAGTGGCGACCAGCTGGTGCTGATCGCGGGTTTACATTTCTTCGGTCTAATCTCACCCTTGCATATCATCGAACAAATCTTTTGGCACGTTATGGTAGGTAAGCTATGCTTGCAACTATGTGATGGTTATGCACTAGTTTTGTTAGATAAATTGATGGGGAACTGAATTACATCTTGCACATGTTAAGCTTTGATGTTCGTCTGTTTGTTTGTACACTTAGGCTTTTTATGCTTTTATTCGATGCAGGTGGTCAGCCGATGCTAATGGTGGGGTGCTGGAATCTCTTGGATATAAGGAGGGTTATAGAGTTGATGTTGACATTCCAGACGGCACATGGGCAGAAGCTCTAAGCTTTCATGACATTCTGATCTTTAACACGGGGCACTGGTATGTATTTTCATTCTTATTTGTTATGCTTGCTCAAGAACTTGTACATGTAGCAGATACATTTGTTACTTGGTTTAGTATTAGTCTTCTTTTAATTTCGTGATGTGATCAAATAAATTCTGTTTATAAAAAAATACAATAAGTTGTGTGTATCATATTTATTGATCCCAAGACTAGTAGCCTGGTATCGATAATCGTGATGCAGTTTACTCATATAAGTGGTGAGTGAGAAGAATTTTGATGTAGGAAAACAAGTTAGTTGAGATAGAACAGATTAAGCAATTTGAAATCTGCCGCGGAGCTTGTTGATTTTCCCACTAGACGATCAGGAACTATAGTTTCTAAGATCTAATTGACCCTCCAAGTAAATACCAGTACAATAGGAATACAAACCAACAAATATCTGTTTTCAAGAGCGCTATAAAGCAGCCATATAGATAGGCTTAAATCAGTATGTAGAAGGTAGGAGAACGTTTCTAAGATAAAGACCAGAATTAGTAAACTTCTAAATGTGACGAGTTGGAAATTTCACGTGTCATTAAGTTTGCTGACTATTCATTTTGTTTTTTCGGTTCTTATGAATAAACAGGTGGTGGGCGCCTTCAAAGTTTGACCCGACAAAGTCACCCATGCTTTTCTTTGAAAAGGGTCGTCCAGTGGTTCCTCCAGTACTCCCTGATGTCGGCCTTGATATGGTTTTGAAGCACATGGTACCAATTTTTTAAGATAAAAGCTTCATAATTTGTTTAATTTTATGTTTCATAAGAAATTAAGAGGTAGTATTCTGGTGTTCATGTTTTTAGTGGATTTGTTCATTGTAGGTAATGCTCATAGAGAACAGAACGAAAGCAGGTGCAATCAAATTTTTTCGTACTCAGTCACCTAGACATTTTGAAGGGGGTGACTGGGACCAAGGTGGCTCTTGTAATCGGCTAAATCCTTTATTGGTAGAACAGGTCAGTTGTGTGATGCTATAATAACCCGAATGGATGTCACAAAATGAATGTTATGTTTAGTTAATGGAGCTACATATACATGTTATGAAGCAATGATTTGTACCCAAGCACAAACCCCTTCTACTTTGTGTTGTTTCAATTAAGCTCTTGTATAATGTTACGGTTTGCTTTCCAGGTCGAAGATCTCTTCTCAGTGAAGAATAATGGAACAAACGTGGAGGCACGCCTGGTGAATCAACACCTCTACAAGTCCCTTAACGGATCAAGTTTCCAGATTTTGAACATAACCCACATGAGCGAGTTCAGAGCAGATGCCCATCCATCCACAGCCGGTGGGAAGAAGCACGACGACTGCATGCACTGGTGCTTGCCAGGATTAACAGATACTTGGAATGACTTATTTATAAAGCAGCTAAATGTTATTAAAAGTAGAAATTGATGAATTATTTTCATGTTGAGATTTTTCATTTTTCCATCTGAAATGTAGTGAACTTCGCAGCACAATCCCATCCCATCTTGTTCTCAATACTGCCTTTTTGAAATCCACATAATGCTGCATCCAGAGGAGGCAACTGTGGTTAGAACACAAGGACAATTCCGGCCTGGCTTTGGACACCCGAGCCACGACAACGAGAGTAAATGGTAATGTTCTATTTGCTTGTCTTATATATTTTGTTTTAAGGAGTTGTCCTAATCGCCCCGAATGACCCCCCATTTGCCCGATTACTACGATATGATCATAAAAAAGCTAGTTTTTCCGGAATTTTATTGAAATAGGGGTAGGATGAGCAAAGGATAGTTCTGTACGCACCCATTAAACAATGCTCCTTTTCCTGTGCCGTACTCAACCCTGCAAATGCAATGTCACGGCATCCTGAAAAACCAAAAACAAGAAAAAATGAAGTTGAATTCTCTACCTTTCGCCTTGATAAATTACAGCACCAATTGGGGTGACAGCAACGGCAGTTCCTATACAGATCGTCGGCTTCAAGCAAATCCCTCACCGGAATTACACGTTCCTCGACCTAAAGGAAAGCATGCATGCCCTAGTTTTACGCTTTCGAATTGAGTGGACCAAAAGCGCAGTAATGCTAATTGGTTTTGCCTTCGAGATGAAAATATTGCATGCTGTCTGCTCCCATTTGCATTCTTAAAGCATTCTGTCCAGGCCTAAAGGGTAGAAATCGATCATCTTCTGTCCTGTACGCCATAAGACCTTCAAATATACCCTGGCAAAACCCGCAATGGGCATATTTATATCACCAAAAGTTTGATAGCATAACATAATGATATTATGTTGTGCAGAGTGAATCTGAATGAGACGTCTTGGCAAGAATCTACTTAAATAATGGTCGATATTCTCTGTTGACAGGATAACATTTCTTCACAATAATAAAAGAATTTGACTGAATAAGCTACCTAGCTAGCAGCAAAGCATGCAAAATTACCAATGTTACCTTTCGAATGAATAAGATTGACAATAATGATTAGCAACTAATCAAGCCTAACTAATCACACTAGCACCTCACACTAACACTACAATTAGTTACATAACTCTTGCAATAGGTAAGGATATGGACAATGACTAGACTATGACACTGCTGACTGTACTGCGAGTATGAGTTGTGTCTTTACACCCGGTCAAGTTGAACGGAGGGTAAAGCTTGGACTGAAGATAGTGAAACTGGCCTGAATATTAACATTCTTATTTTGGCTGTTGACATACTGAATTTGAGGAGATGAGCAAGAACCAGTTTTTTGATTTAATGATAATCTATTTCCACTTGTTTGTTACTAGCATGGAACACTGGATTGGAAGCCAGAGAAATGTCCTTAAATATTTTGCAAACTCAGGTAGTTCTGCTACAGTAGGAGCCCAGTATCTATATCCAGCCTCAGGAACGAGCAACTGTTCCTTGCTTCTTTTCACTCAAACCAATGAGATTACTACCCAGATAAACACATTAATCACTTGTAGATCTTCTGTTAAATACATAGCCTACCCAATTTGCATTAGAGAAGGCAGTGAGATCCAAAGAGCTTTTCTTGAACCACAAACCATGATCAATAGAGCCTTTTAAAAACCTTAGTATTCCTTTGACAGCTTGAAAGTGAGTACCTCCAGGACAACGAAGAAACTGACAAACTTGATTCACTGCATATGAGAGATCAGGTCTTGTTGATGTCAAATATTGCAATGCCCGACCATTGATATGTATTCATGAGGATTAGGCAATAGAGTACCAATGTGATCTAACTTGTGAGTACCAAGAGGTGTAGCACAAGGTTTACACCTTTCCATATGTGTTTTGATGAATAGGTCCAATGCATATTTACCTTGAGAAAGAAAAATACCTTCTGAAAAACTGTGAACCTCTAAACCCAAGAAGTAGTGTAATGCACCGAAGTCTTTAATTGAAAATAACCAAGTCTTTTGAAAAATGCCTTACAAACTGTAGGATTATGCCCAGTTACCTAAATAGCATCAACATAGACCAACAAAATCAGAAGAGAAGGATCAAATTTCACAAATAATGAATAATCAGACTGAGAATTCGAATACAATGAAGATCAAAGTTTTGTAAAAGGTATACCCTTCATCCAACGAACCAAACTCCATTTTCAATTTGGGTTTCAACTCATTGTCTAACGTTGGTACAACAAATTCAACCTTCCTTGCACCAAATTGATCTCCTACATCTACATCCTTTCTTCTTCTATTTCTCACTCACTCCTTATCGAATTACAGTTCAATATCTACCTGCTACAAATGTACACAACTACAACACAACTTCTCACAAACTAGCACAAATTTTACACCTATATATCTAAAATCCAATTTCAGGATCTCAACCAAGTCTAGTGGTAACCACCCAGTATTATGGATTCAAATCCCAAAATTATAAATATCGTACACACGTACCCAAAGTTGGTTTTCAGAACCAAAATGGAACAGAAATGGATCAAATGACGGCAGAAAACCAAACATCACCATATGAGTTTCTTCAGAGGTTCTGGACGAACCACCCTTGTCAACTCCAATCTAAGCAGAGCTTCAATCCATATGAAATCGAGCACCCTTCACTAGCTCCCTTTCCCTGCCTCTTTTTCCTTGCGAATATAACCATCAGGTATCCCCCTATCTCCGACAAAAACACACCAGTGAACCAAAAAAATAAAAATAAAAATAAAGGTATAGGATTTACAGGGTCACAATCGAGACTCATCTTCAATCCACCTGAAATTGAACACTCCCACCTACCAGCTCCCTCTCTTTGCCTCTTTTTCCTTGCGAAGAAAACCATAATCTTTCCCTCTCTCTCCAACAAAAATACACCCAGTGAACAAAAAATAAAATAAAATTTAAAGGTATAGGATTACCGGGTCACAATCGAAACGGGGCTTCAATCCACCTGAAATTGATTCCTCACACTAGCTCCCTCTCTTTGCCATTCTTTCCCTCTTGAATGTGCGAATAATCTCTCTCTCCCCCTTTCTCTCCAACAAAAACATATTGAATTACACCAGGTCACAACAACCCAGTTCCACGTGTGAGCTCGTCAAATCACAAAAGTTAGATTCTAGTCCACACGCAAGGTCTGCACCTTAGAAACAACCATATATATAGATGCTAATTAAACATCTATAAATACTACTAGATGAAGCCCATATACCATGTGTATGTAAATATAAAAACTTTTAAAAGAAAAGATATATGCAAAAAGAGCGAAGTTGAAGACAAATGTGAGACATAGAAAGAGAGAGTAAAAAAGTAAGGTTTTTTTTATTTTATTTTTTAAAATTAGAGATTTTATGATGATATTTGAGAGGTTTGGAAAAAAAAAGTAAAATTGGGTTTATGAGAAATTGAATGAATGGTCATAATTTTATTTTGTGATGTTAATAAGTAATTTAGATAAGCTTATTTTCCTCAAATCTCTTGCTTTAATTTCTTCTTAATTTTCATTAATCAAGCCCATGTGTGGGTACTTGTAACCCTCTAGATGGTTATATCCGAGATGTATTTTGTGGAACCCACGGAAGCTTCTTATCTCTTTGATTTATTTTTTGGTTTATTTCTGTGTTTAAATACAACAAACTAATGGTGTGTATATTATCATTTGACCAAAAAAAAAAAAAGTGTATGGCCATAACCATGTTGAAAAATGAAAATGTTAGAATGCTAATTAGCGGCTACCCTCTTTAATTACCCACAATAAATCACAGACGGGAGAAAAATTATGTTAAAACTTATAAAACATCCAATTACATTAATATCTTAGTTACAAGTTTACACTATATGAAAAAAAAAAAAACTTTTATGGCTTTGCTCATGACGAGTAGTGTTTAATAATATGTTCGTATAGACACTTAGTACTATGGTCGATTGATATTCATCTTCACTGGTAAGTGAGAGTTCTTAGGTTCAATTCTAACAAAAGGCGAATTTTTGAACCATATTATTGCTAGCCCATTGGAGGCTAAGCCCACCCCCTCCCCTTAGTATAGATAATATCGTTTCTTAAAAAAAAAAATTTTCATATAGTAAAGGGTAGAGAAGCAATATTTATAAAACAAAAACAAAAAAACAAAAAAAAGTACAATTTCAATTTAAAGATACGATTGCATATATTGTCCCATAAATTCAACAAAAAAAAAAAAAAAAAAAAAAAAAATCCAAGAACCTGGTTTCAGGTTTAGCAATGAAGAACAACATGAAAAACATCTCAATTTATTTGGTATCCATACGAAGTTCATATTATGAACGCACATGCTTCATTGTAATTGAAACGGGGATCAAGCAGCAGCTCAATCAATGAGCAAGGTCCACCCCATTTTGTCCTCAATCAAACCTGTTTGAATCTCAGTAAGCATTTCACGCAGTTTGCAAAACACAGTTTCTTTCCCTCTTCTGTATTCAACCCTGCATTAACATAATCCATTTTTAACTATTAAATTCCAGGGTTATGATATTTAAAAAAAAAAAAAATGCCACGATTTTGAGGGTCTGTTCTAAACTGCTTTTGTATGAAGTGCATTTGGTTTAAAAAGCACATAAAAAAATTTAAATTAAAAATTCAAGGCATAGAAGTACCAAAAGTGCTTTTCCTTAAGAATTTTCCTCAAACACTTGTACCTTTTGTCACCATATGTTATGCTAGAAACGGCAATGACATCCACAGCAGTCCCAGTACAGAAAACTTCATCAGCAGCCAACACATCCTCTAGTGAAACGTCACGTTCCTCCACCTGATATTCATTTTCCAAAACATGGTTTTAGAGTTTGCAATTAGCTAGAAAATCACTTCTCATGAGTAAAATTTACATTTTAGACTTGTGAAATATAATTAACAAGCTGTACAAGCAGTAGTTAATGCTTAATTAAGGTAAAAAGCGGTCGTTAATTACCACGTAATTGAGATGGAGAGCAATTTCTATGATGCTTTTCCTTGTGATCCCTGGAAGGACAGTTCCATTGGTTGGTGGAGTTAAAATCACATTATCCTACACCAGTAAAATAATTGTTAGGCCAAACTTGAATGGGCATTTCACATAGAAACCTTCGATAGCATTGTTATTTTTGTTATTTAATTTTTAGAACAACACTTCAAGCTCAATAATGCACGTCTTGTTTGTTGTCGATTAAAATAATTCTTATTTGATTGTGTAGCTTAACAATTCAGTTATGTAACATGTTACGGAGTAATTAGGGTTTAGGGTTTAACAATCTGGTCACGTAACATGCTCAGAATGTTGGTGAATTGTAATATTGAAACCGTATATGCAAATTGTAATTACTAATACCTTCACAATGAAAATATTAGATGAAGAACACTCCTCAATATTTTTTCCAGTGGCTGCATCCAGAAAGAGGACATCAGTGAACCCTTTGGCCCTAGCCTTTTGTACTGTTCTAAAAATCTGTAGCATTGAAATGGAGCAAAAAATAAAAATTATTTAGAAGATCCCAATATCTTCAACCTAATTATATATATAAGTTGGCCAAGTAAATTACTGGTGAATAGTTGGTGATGCTTTTGATGCCTCCAGTTCCACCAGGAGTGGCCCTACGAACCTCATTCTCAATGTACAAATTCATGGTGCTGCCACTCTGTTGTATAAACAAAATCAAAGTTGGAAAAATAAAGTTCCCAAGAAAAAAAAAAAAGGTCTGAAAAATAGAGAGTAACTAGGAAAAATCTAAATTTAATTTGAGAAAAACATAATTTATGTGAACGAAATTACCACAGAACCAAGTATTTTTCTTCGTGATCGAATCCCAATCAATTAGCAATATGTGACTTAATTCTCGACTTTGAAACTATATCAAAGTTAAAGTATCCAATCTAAAACCAATTGGTAATTAACACGAATTGCATTGGCAAATAAGTTACCTTGTGATAACTACCAATTGGAGTAGCAAATATTAGGAATGTGTACTCTGTTGCTGACCCCAAGCCAAGAACAGGACCACTTCCAATGAGCAATGGCCTAATATACAATACTCCTTTCCCTGAAGGTGGTACCTATACATGCATACGTACACACATACATACATATATACATATGAAAATTAAAACGTCAGTTTTTACGTTTGTAAACTTTAGAACTATAGGGTCTAAAGTGAAAATACCCAACGCTTGTTGGCAAGGACTGCTTGTTTTAAAGCAGCAAGAAATTGCTCAGTAGATGGACATGGCATGCACAATCTCTCTGCGCCCATCTTCATTCTTAGAGCGTTCTCTTCTGGACGAAAGAGCTGAATGCGACCATCTTTCGTCCTGATTGCCTTGAGACCTTCTAATATTCCCTGATGACACCATCACGTACATACTCTTAACTACTAGAATTACAAGCCCTCGGATCGATACTCATCTATTAATTAGCATGGATCCGATTATATTCGGCGTCATTGTGAAACAAACATAAGGGCAGCTAAGTGTAATTACCTGTCCATAATTCAAGATTCCAGCAAATGGGCTGAGCTCAATCTTTCTATAGGGAGCGAGATGGCCTTGTGAAAAATTCTCTCCATCGGAACATATCATAATGTACATGTAATCGGTTGGAATTACCCCAAATTCCAGTTTATCCCAGTTCATGGCATCAACGTGTTTTTCATCTGCTTCATGACTGCTTTGAGAAATTCTTACAGAAATTAAGTATAAGAGATAAAATTAAGAAAGCTGATAAGGTGAAGTAAATCACCTGTGAACTATGGATTCAGAAGTCATGGCTGCAAGTTAATGTAGAATAAAGTCTAAAACAGCCGCAACAAAGAAACAAAACACCTTTGAGTGAGCAATTTATAACATAACCGCATTTTGGTGAGATATTAATTTAGAAAGCTGGTAATAATCTTCGATTTTATAATATAAAAGGGTTTCGTTTCAAACTAGTGTTCCTTTGTGTTACATAAAAGCAGGTTTTTTTTTTCTTTCATCTTTACACATCATTTGAAAGCGAATTTCGTCTTTATCTTCGTTTTGTTTCCTATCATGACATATTTTAATCCAAATTTTTTTTATGAAAAATAAAGGGTGATTAGTACCTGTTCCCTTGACTTTTTTTTTTTTTTTTTGAACGCTGTTCCCTTGACGTTATATATAACTAAATGCAGTGGACACCCCTTGTGTCTGATTTAAAATTTATAAAGAATTAAATATTAGTGGATTGGGGAAGTTAGCAAAAGTAGGAAAAAAGTAGACGTGGGTCGGTGCAAATGAGAGAGAGAGAGAGAAACAAAGAGTGAGTTTAGGTATTGATAGGATGACATGGTTATGAGGTTTAGAAAAAAAAAAAATAACAAAAATTTGTTTGTGTGAAATTATTATAATGTCTAATTTATTTATTTTATCTATGTATAAAAGGGTATAATAGTAATTTCATTGATTTTTAGTTGATGACAAACAAAAACAAACGATATTATCTACACTAAGGGAAGGGGATGGGGTGAGCCTCACAATAGGCTATCAATAATGTGATTCAAATTCGCCTTTGGCGAGAATCAAACCTATCTAAGACTTCTCACTTATAAGTGAAGAGAAATACCACTAGATTGTAGTACTAAGTGGCGACAAATAGAGTTCTATTAATATGTAGTATAGATGATTTTTAATTGACAAATAGAGTTCCATTAATATGTAGTTTAGATTTAGATAACATCATTTTATTATAAAAGTGAAAGTGAGAAAGTTTTGTATAGGAAAAATAAAAAACATGACTTTGATTTTTCAAACTGAAATAGCACCAATTTTGTCAAAAAAATTCAAACCAAAATACTATATCGGTGGTTTGTAGTTTCTGGCATCAAATTTGATGTCTGGCTGAGAGTACTTTTTCCACGAAGTCTTGGTATATAATATATATATATATATATATATATATTTTTTTTTTTGTCAAGAAGTCTTGTTAGTTTAGCGCATGGGCGGCCCTAAGCATTTGGGTGCTTTGTGCAAAACTTACAAGGAGGCCTTTTATTATTTTCTATTTTTAATTTTCTTTTTCTATAAAATTGAAGTATTACAGGTTAGTGAATAAAAAATAAGTTTGTTTTTGTGGACAAGAGTGTTTTCTATCTTCAATAGGTCATGAGTTCGAAACAATTGCATGTTTTTGAAATCAGCAAGGCAAAGCCACAGACTGTCGAACCTAGCTCATGCTCAAAGCCTAAAAAAGGTAAAAACCCTAAGCCACTAGCACCAGATTAGAACTTTGATATTATATTGCATATTTTAATATATCTACACATGTGTCTGTGTACATGTAAAGAAAATTTGGGGGCTCTTTTGAGGCCCTATGCAGTGACACATTTTTGCATGACTGAAGGTTAGCTCTGGTTTAGTGTTATAATGGATGACCTAAGCATGAAGACTTTTGGACTTCTATGTCTAGACTACAAGATAGAGTTGGGCAATAGGAAAGGTGGTTGAGCCACTTAAATGATCACTTACACACAATTAGTATTTGATTAGTTTAATTAGGTTGGAATTTTTGGAGGGTTGCTTTTGCAACGAGTCATAAAGTCTACCCAAATATTCAAGTCAAACTGCAAGTTAAGGTACTGAATTTTATTTGCATTTGCATTTCACATGTCATAGTCTCATGTTAGGATAAATGTGTTTAACCTTTTGTTTTAACCTTTAGAGCATCTCTAATGAAAATGTAAAAAATGCTAGGTGGATAAAAATGGATAGTTTTAACAGCAATAATGGCTTCAACTGTGGAGCCAAATGCTAACTTGGATTGAAGAAGGTGCTCCCAGCGTAAAAAATGACAAGAAGAGAGATTGATGCCAAATTATTTTTAATTTGATTAATGGTAGGACCCACAATGAAAACAACTTATTTTGTTTATGTGAAATTGTTACTTTCAACCTTTTTTAATAAATAACTAATAAATATTGCAAAAGAAAATAATATAAGAGAATTGTTATTGGTACTAAAAAAATCTCAGTTTGCATTCTAAACTTTTTATTATTAGAAAAAAAAAACATTTTGTAAAGAGTGTAGAATGAGATTTTGGGACTGTTAATAACAATTTCCTAATATAAAATGAAACATTTTGACATATAGAGGCTACACACAAAATAGGCGCATAACGTAAGAACTTGTAAGTAAGAAGTTTTGCATGATTCCAAATTTCCACATAAGCCACTCAAATTTAAATTTGATGTTTTGTATTTGATATCTCTTTTGAATTTGCTCTTAACTGTCATTGTATCAGTAACCTATTATTATTGTTAGATATTTTGCATTGGTGAAATGCCTCATTTACCCTGATTTGTAACTGCCGTAAGAGAGAAGCAATATGTTAGGAAGCTTCATAGCTCATTTATGTTAATAGTTTTGCTAGAGTACAGAAAACCCAGAAGAACAGGAAGAAAAGCTAATGAACAAATGAGAGAAAACAAGAGAGACAAATGAAATCTTGTTTATTGATAATTCTGAATGAATACAGTTGCATAGTTGTGGTTGTTATATATATTCCCTCAAGACTTAGCAGCCAAGCTACTATTCTAACTATATAACCGACTTCTAACAAACCTATCTAACAACCTTGATGACATGGCACTTCAATCACTATCCACTTATGTTGACATGACACTCACCATTGCTGAATTACATTCAACACCCCCCCTCAATCTCAACTAGGATTTCCTAGTTTGAGATTGTGAAAATGTGTAACAAAAGAAGGACTATGTAACCCCTTTGTCAATATATCGGCGATTTGATCTTCTGTGGGAACATACGATACCTCCAAATCTCCTTGTTGTACTCGTTCCCTGACAAAATGAAAATTTGTGTCAAGGTGTTTGATAAGTGAATGGAAAACTGGATTGGTATTAAGTGCAATAGCTGACATGTTATCATAGTGAATACTTGGTGGATGACATAAGAACGCTCCCAGATCCTTCAGTATGTTTCTGACCCAAGCTATATTAGCTGCAGTATGAGCTAAGGTTTTATACTCGGCTTCTGTTGAACTATGAGACATTGATGTTTGCTTTTTAGACTACCATGAGATAGGATTATTGCCTAAAAATAGGACATAACCAGTGATTGATCTCCTTATATTCAAATCGGCTGCCCAATCAGAATTTGAGAAGGCATTTAACTGGTGAATTATATCTACAAAATACATGATTCCAGTAGTTATTGTCCTTGCAAGTATCGCAAACTTCTTTTCACAGCCCCAAAATGAATCTAAGTTAGTGATGACATGAATTGACAAACTGTATTGACTGCATAAGCATTGTTTGGCCTAGTAAAGGTCAAATATTGCAATGAACCTACCCTACTCCTATACAAAGTTGGGTCTGCCAACAATGTGCCTTCTGAAGTTAACAGTTGATGATGAGGCTTGTAGGGAGTTGGAGCTGGTTTACATGTCTCTATACTAGCTTTATGTATCAAATCTTTGATGTATTTTGACTGATTGACAAAGATGTCCCCATTATCCTTATACTGTATTTGTAGCCCTAAGAAATATGTGAGCTTACCCATGTCTTTTAAATCAAAGACTTCAGACAACTCTTGTATCACACCTTGTATCTTCACAGAATTGGAACTAGTTAGGATTATGTCATCAACATACAACAACAAAATGATTATATTAGACCCATCTTGTTTCACAAATAAACTAGTATCAGATGCAGAAGCACAGAATCCCAAAGCTCTTAGATAGGCAGTAAATTTCGAATTCCAAGCTCTTAGAGCTTGTTTTAAACCATACAATGATTTAACAAGTTTCCAGACATATGTGAGATGAAAAACATCAACAAAACCCTGAGGTTGCTTCATGTATACCTCATCTTGTAGATCTCCATGAAGAAAGGCATTTTTAATGTCTAATTATCTCAAATTCCAGTGATTAATAGCAGCCAAGGCTAAGACAATTCTAACTGTAGTGTGTCTAACAACCGGGCTAAATGTGTCCATATAATCAATGCCATGTTCTTGAGAAAAACCCTGAGTAACGAGCCTTGCTTTATACCTTGAGATTGTACCATTTGGATTTTTTTTTTACTTTATATACCCACTTACTACCAACTATAGCTCTATCTTCTGGTAAAGGTACTAAAACCCAAGTGCCTTGAGCCCTCAATGAGTCATATTCGTCCTGCATAGCTGCCTGCCATTGTGGAATTATAGATGCTTTTCTAAATGAAGAAGGCTCTTGTACATCAGCTATCTCAAAAATGAATGAATAACCACCCGTGAATGGATCTTTTTCAGTAATGTGTAAAGAATGAAGCTACTAAAGCAGCATAATTCTTTTTCTCAATCACTCCACTTTTTAGCCTGGTAGTCATAGAATGTGTATTGATTCCTGTATCACACTGAGTTGATTCACAATTAGGTGAGATAGGAATGATTACCTCAAGCTGATCAGATGAGTGGACATGCAACATGGATGTTGTACCAGAGTGATGACTTGGGGAAGAGTGATGACTTGGAGAAGTAGCTTGGACATTGTTACAACCTGATACAATCAACTGTGAATCACTGTTCTGATGAATAATCCCATTACTGTCTAAAGTTGCAGAATTATGACTAACACTGGAACCAAAAAATTGAATTTCTCTTTCATTTGATCCTGAAGATTGACTTCTTTTAGATAGTGCTACATTACTCCCTTCTTGAATCACATTCTGAAAATTAGACAGTTGTTGAGACCCTGCACTTGGAATATTAATATGCACTATCACAAGAGAAGATGACCTCTTCTGCGCATTATTAGAACCATTGGTATCACAGAACTGCTTGAAAGAATAGACATCTTCATCATGAATTACACTTCTGGAAATGACAAATTTCTTTGTATGGATATTATAACACACCACTCCTTTGTATCCGCTAGAAAAACCCAGAAAAACACACTAAACTGATCGTGGTTGAAGCTTATTTTCATTAAAAGGTATGAGGAAAGGATATACAGCAGTTCCAAAAACCTTAAGAGAAGTAATATTAGGATTACACTGAAACAACACTTGATAAGGAGACCTCATATCCAAATTATTGCAGGGCATTCTATTTATCAGAAAAGCTGCATATGAACAACTATGGTACCAAAATTGAGTTGGTAACTGGGCATCTGACATCAAACTAATTGCTATTTCCACAACATGTCTATGCTTTCTTTGAGCTAGACTATTCTGTTGAGGTGTGTGTGGACAAGAAGTATGATGTACAATTCCTTTGTTTTCTTAAAAATTATGAAACATGTTGCTTATATACTCACCACTACCATCTGATTGAAAGTACTTGACATGTGCATTGAATTGAGTAACAACAAATGCATAGAATTTGCAAAATATTGAAAAAGCTTTTGATTTATTCAACATTGGGAAAATCCATACAAATCTGGAATAGTCATCAACAAAGCTTATGTAATATCTAAAACCCTCAACAAACTTCACAGGTGTAGGTCCCCACACATCTAAATGTATTTTCTCAAATACTACATGTGATCTATCTTGTTTTACAGGGAAAAGTAACCTACTCATCTTGCCATGAATACATGCAATACATGTGGATTGACTAGAATTTGAAGTAACAGACAATTGAGCAACATTCAACATTCTATTTAATATTTCCTCATAAGGATGACCCAACTGCTATGCCATACATAGCTCTTTATCTTCTTTCCAACAAAAGCAGTACTACTCCCAAGCTTTGTAGCAAAAGACCTTGAAAACACATTAACCAAAATTTGGAATAACTCCCCATCATCACTCTTTCCATGGTACAACACCATCTGAGTTGCCTTGTCCTGTATAAAGAAAAACAAATCATCACAAATGAACCAGCATCCATTATCTTTGCACAATTTCTTGACATATAATAAATTCATGGCAATCTTTGGAACATGCAAAACATTATGTAAAATTAAAGTATGCTGAGGTGTTTTAAGTATAGATGAGCCAATATTTGAAACTAGCAAACCTTCTCCACTACCAACATTTATCTTTGCATCACCATTATAAGGAGTAATATTGTTTAAGACATCAAGATTTGATGTTATATGGTGAGTTGCACCTGTATCAACCACCTATGTATCAACTGGTGCAAAATCATGAATATTCTGGACTCCATTTGCAGTAGTAGAACTCTGAGCAGTCATTGCAGTAATTGAAGCAGAAGGTGGAGCACCTTGATACGAAAAATTATTCCTGTGAAAGCATCCTAAAACAATATGTCCCTTCTTGCCATAGATTTGACAAACCACGAATCCTCCAGAAGGTTGACCACTATCAGTTCTGAAATAGCAAATAGGTGCTGTGTGACCCTTTCTTGAACATATCTGGCACTTTGGAGATATAGCAGACTTGTAATTAGTATTTCCAGTCCAGGAGTTAACTTGCTTGCTTCCACTGGAGTAATTTTGAGACTTATTAAATCGAGAACCTTTCCCATTATCATGAGAAAAGTTAGAACCAAATCTGTTTCCAAAGTTAGACCTGAAGTTGGTACCTCCTCCATTGTTTCTTCTATTGTTAAAATTGTTATAACTTGGCATTTGATGAAAATTCTTGCCCCCATTACTTCCATAACCAGATCCTCCATTAAAACTCCCATCTCCATAGCCATCATTGAAATTATTTCCTTGTGACCTCTTTGAATCCGAGCTTTCACCCTTCTCATAGCTTTGGAATTACCCCTGTGAATGTGAAGAATGCCCTTGAATAGACATTGCAGAAATAGACTGAGACAAACTATGTACTCTAGACTCAATGATTGCTTCAGCCCCAAGAAGTTGTGCTCTAAAATCTGTCAGTGGTATTGGTGTTTCTTGAGCAAGAATTACTGTTCTTATCATTTCAAATTCTGATGGTAATCCAGATAAAGCAGCAATGACCAAATCATTCTCAGTGACCTTCTCCCCTGCAGCCACTAACTGATCTGTAATACCCTTTAATCGTAAAAAATATTTATCCACAAAGTCAGATTCCTTCTGTGTCGTGTGACATTCAGTCTTAAGCTAATTAATCTTGACTACAGACACATATGCATAACGTTCCTAGAGACATTTCCATGCTTCATGAGACAATTTGCAACCAATAACATAGTCTATGGCTCCATCCGAAAGAGTGGCAATGAGCAAACTCAACAGAGATACATCAGTCTTAACCTATTCTTTGTAATCCATGGAAACTTCCTCTGTCACTCTAGCTTCAGTAGTGATACAAAACTTAGGTGGACATTGTGATTCCCCATCAAAGAAATCAAAAAGATCATAACCTCGAAGAACAGATTGGAACTGATAATTCCATTTGACAAAATTATCATCTTGTCGATTCACAGTAATCATACCCAAAAGACTCTCAATCTTGACAGTACTCAATGCCATATCTTAAGAACACAGAATCTTGACACTTCAAGCAAGTATTAACCTTTGGTTTGTTGTCATCAATACATTTCTTGGCAATCGGCCTTATGAAGTGCAAAAGTCTTAATCAATCAAGAACAAACTATTCAACAGAAAGGAATGGCTATTGGCCTTTGTATTCCTTCAACAATGCATTCAACACTCTTGGCAATCGGCCTTTTTCGAGTGCACAAATCGCAAACAATCAAGAACTAATCAAACAACAGAAAAGAATGGCTATTGGCCTTTGTATTCCTTTAACAATCTCGTAGAAAATGGCTATCGGCCTTATCAGAGAAACTTGCATACAAGAAATCCCATCGAAGAAGCAAATTTTCACTGCAACATTTAAGCAAACAGATGGAGGGCATAATTTAGGAACAAAACCTGAGACTTGAGTTTATGATCGGAAAACCCCATCCCAGAAACTCCAACAAATCACCAGCTACCAGAAAACCCCAGCGAATCAGAAAGAAACCCTCAACGATCACAGCGGAAGGAGCCCCGAAGATCGAAACCCTCGGCTCTGATACCATGATAACAGTTCTGCTAGAGTACAGAAAAACCCATAAGAACAGGAAGAAAAGCTAAGGAACAAGTGAGAGAAAACAAGAGAGAGAAATGAAATCTTGTGTAGTGATAATTATTGGGGTTTCCTTTGTCTGTTTGGGTTTTTAGTATAGGTTGTGATTTGGTTGTTTTTTTATTTCCAGGGAGAAGTGTTCATGGTTTATGAGTTTCGATTTTTAGTGTGGGTGTATGATTTGGTTGTTTTTTATTTCAGGAAACGTTGCCGTTCGAATTTTATGGTTTTTGTATAGAAGTTTGCAGGCCCCTTCTGATTAAGGTATATAATTTATGTTCCTCCTCTTATATCTTTTGCTGAACAAAATTTAAATTTTTTTTGGGTCGTGTTTAGTTTGCGGATCTATTTTCTGTAAAAAAAATTTGTGATAATTAATTTTGGTACAGAAAATTGGTGATAATTAATTTTGGGGTTGTGTTGTATATGGATTTTTAGTGTGGGTATATGATTTGGTTTTTTTATTTTCAGGAAGCAGTGGCCATCGTTTTTGCCGCTTTTGTATGTACGGTTCCAGATGCTTGAGGTATAAAATCTTCAAATTGCTCACCTTAAGTAGACAGTGGCGTGCATATGTAGTTTATCATTGAATAATCAACCTCTCATCACTAAATTATCGTTTAAGTTTGTTTTTAATTTAGTTCACAAATGAATCAACCAAGTTTTCATGCCATATTGATACGAAATTATAAAGCAATGTCGACCATATTTTGTTTGTTTTTTTTTTCATTCTTTTGAGATCTATTATTCATATATTTCATAGATGATGAAGAATAAAAGAAATTAAATGCTGGTTTGGATGATAAATTGATGTTGATGACAAGTACTATTGATGATACCCACTATTTCTCATATGTTCTAATGCTGCAGGTATGTATATTATGTAACAAGTTCTCTATCAGTTTGTTAATATCCATAACCAATACAGGTTTTCAAACACTTACACATGTTTGTATTTCAGTGGAAAATGTCTAGGAAAAACAAAAGGAGGTTGAGCCCATCTACATAAGGAGTCGAAAGAAAAATTAAACTTAACAACTAGAGAATGAGAATGCGTCTGATGAAAAATAGGAAATGAACACATATAAGGTAATGTCACAAGGTGAGATTTCAGTATGAAATTTTCATTGTCATACTGATTAATGCTTTTTAACCAATTGGTATAGATTCTATTTTTAGTTTCTTTTGCTTGATCAATTTACATTACTTTTTTGAACCAAATGCAAGTTCCAATATTGCATTGATAACAAAATAAATTAATTGAAATTGAAGCTTTTTCTGATTGAGAAATTTCTTTTTGTTTAAATAGTGTTACAAGTTTTGTCTTTATTTTTTTGCCAATAGGTGGACTTAAAAAGGATCAAGTTTGCAGGGGAATGGTAGGATCAACATATCAAAGGTAGAGATTGACTCTTTTTCTCATGTTAAGCTTATACTGTGATGTTTATTATTATTAAATTTTGGAAAAATAATTGCTTATCATAACCTTATCACAATACTAAATAATAGAGAGAGAGATGAAAAATAGAGAGGAATCTATTTGATTGTATGTTTACTTTGGAGATTTTGGATAACAGTCATGAATTATGGTCTTAGTGCATCTCTATTTTTTTTTTCTTCATGTTTTTGCATACTGTTTATAGCTAAATGATTTTTATTTGGATCTTCCAAATTTTTAACTATTACTCTGAATCTCTGATGAAGTTTTATTAATTTTTTATTCATTGGTTTCAAGTATGGCCGTTGACTATGTGAATTTTAAGTTTTGCACAGTTAAAGAGGCTAGATGGTAATGTTTCATTTCTCTCTTTCTCCCTTCTTATTTTCTCAGCCACGAGTCTTAATAAAATACGACCGACTAAGAATTTGTTAATCATTTTAACATGTATGACATAAGATATTTACTTTTTATGATACATTTCTAATTTTTGCAAATTATTTGATTTACTATTGTTATATGGTTGGCAGAATTTTATGTTAAGTGTGTCACTATATTGTTGTGATAGTTAAATTGGATGTAATATGAAGTGTTGGCATAAAACTAGGCACAACTAATTATCTTTCACTTCTTGAGATACAATCATCGTTTGATTTAGCCTACGACTAATAAATCTTTAATTATAATTGGTTTTTTTAGTTTACTTGGATCAGAACTGATAACCATATAAAAAGGCAGTAAAAATTAAAGTCTGCATGTTCTGATGACAATTGATAAATATACAGGTTTGCACGTATACTGGTTGATGAAAAGGTGAGCAATCATTACTTAATGATCTTAAGTAATAAACACTTAGTATTGCTCATTGAAATTTTGTTCATTGTTTCAATGCATATGATCTAACGTTTCTGCTTTCTGTAATAAACACTATCTAGGATCTTTATTTTTGGGGTCAAAAACACTATTTGAGATCTTTTTGTCATCTTTAGACATTGCTTGATTTTGTATTGTCAAATGATATATATTTTCATAATCATTGTGTCTGTATATTATATGGATTTATTTTTTATAATATTCAGTGTTCTATTCTTTGTATTAGATCTTTTTATACTTAAAGAAACTTTTTTAAAGTGTTAATTAAAATGGTTAATTGATAGTTAGTGTTTGCCTATGCATATTATTGCGCAATATTTACTATGCACATGCATGTTCATGTTATGCTATATGTAATGTTCACTGTTATTCACTTATTCACATGATATTTAACAATATTTTTTTCTTGCATTTTTTCCCATGCTGAATTGTCAAGCGACAATCAATATAAACATATGAATTTTGTCTCTTCATTGTTAATCTACTGATACTAGGGATAATTTAAGCTTCTACATTCTTAACATTTTTCATATTTGACTTGCAGGATTAGTGTCAATGTACACCTTTCCGCAACTGTTTGTTTTGTTCTTTTCCCTCACTCTGTATAATTTTAGTCAAATTGAACTACTTTTTAAAACTTGAGATTTAACTGAAGTGCCAAGAACTTCGTTAAATGAAAGTTTACTTTGATTTGATGACATTTATATGATTATTAGGTCCACAATCATTGGATGCATTATCTTTTATATGTTTTAATCATAATTTGTCATAAAAATTTAAATCCCGCAGCAACACGCAGGTGACACTTCCCGCAGCAACGTGCGGGTCACACTTTCTAGTTCTTTCTATAATTTCTTAGGCTATATATCCAATCACCGGGTCGAATGAATTGATAATGACCAAATAACGTAAATTAAGAGGGAGTGTGTGAAAGATAAAAATGAGTGTGTGAATAACATCATTTTAGAAAATGTTTGATAAACTTTGTTGGATCGATCATCACCTCAAATGTTATAGAATCTTTGTTAATTCAGTTATCTATAAATAATAATATAATAGTATTTAAAAGCACAAAATTGACACACGTTTATATAGAAATTTTATTATCATTAAGGATAGAGAAGAAACTTTTAACGAGCACCCCTAGTACCCAACTATCATACTTTAGTTTATATAATACAGTAGAAAATATAATTATTTTGCATTTGTGGCTTGACTACATGTCCAAAACCACTGTTCAGAGTTAGCAATGAAACACAAAGAGAAGCAGCTCAACGAATTTGCATGGTCCATCCCATCTTGTCCTCGACCACGCCTGTTTGAATCTCTGTAAGCATTACTCGCAACTTTTGAGAGATTGATTTTTCTCCAGTTCGGTATTCAACCCTGCACGTACATAATTAATTGATTTTTCTCCAGTTCGGTATTCAACCCTGCACGTACATAATTAATTTTTGGCTATTCAACATAATAATTTATTGTCATTTAGTACTACAGTCCAATAGTATTTCTATTTATTTGTAAGTGAAAGGTTTAGATCCAAATTTAGTGGATGACAAGTTTGCAACCAATTTATTCCGCCACACAAATGTAAATATATTGTCTGTATAAAATAAAAATAATAATTAACTAGCTATTAATCAAAATTCAAATGTTATATTATAAAGACTCATTTGGTAATGCTTCAATAAAAAACACTTCTTATATGCAATTATGCTAGAAGTGTTTTTATAAACATTTCAAAATTCTTTTCAAAAATCAACGAGAAAACCACTTGGACATATTTCTTGAAGAAGCACACATAACAAGTACTTCTAGAAAACTCTTTTATGAAATCCGCACCTTTTAAACATTATTTATACCTTTTATCATGAAGTGTTACACTAGCAACAGCAGTGACACCCACTGCAGTCCCTGTGCAGAACACTTCATCAGCTGTTAGCACATCCATTAGTGGAACATCACGTTCCTCCACCTGAATCAATTTTTCAAAAACAATAAATTAGATATTTTGTATGAGAAATAGTGACTGCAGAATTGCTTTTCATAAATAAAAGATTGTTTACCAGTATTTGTAGAATATTACTAGCCATAATTGTTGATGAGGAAAAAAAAAGTTGCTTAATTACCTTGTACTTCAGATGAAGAGCAATTTCTATGATGCTTTTTCTTGTGACCCCTGGAAGAATAGTTCCATTGGTTGGTGGTGTTAAAATCACATTATCCTACAACACAACATGAAATCGAGTTTATCATATCAAATTACAACAATACATATATTATTATGAAAATTCTATTGCCAGACAATTAATGTCGCAATTTGGTTTGTTATGTTGTTGGTGTCTGATCCATCTTAAAAGAAAATTATTTTTTGAATCCGCAATTCGGATTAACTGTTCAGCAAACATGATACATTGAAAGGAAAACTAATGAAAAGAACTTGAAAATTTTAAGTTTTAATGATAAGGACAAAATAAAGGGTAAAATGAATAGTTTCAGGATTGACTTTTTAGTGTAAAAATGTGGTTTTTCGTTAAAGTAAACAGTACCGCAGACTTTTCGTTAAAACTCCCTATATCGAAATGTCTAGCAATATGAACAATGTAACATTTTCTTGATCGGAATGTTTTCCTGATCGCCTTGTGGATGTATAATAATTTCTGTGATCGAATACGTAATTAATTTGTTACCCTAGCTAAATTATTATATTTATGAGGGCCAATGACAATTCTAATCAGTACTACCTTCACAATGAAAACATTGCATGAAGAAACTTCCTCAACATTTTTTCCAGTGGCTGCATCCAGAAATAAGACATCGGTGAACCCTTTTGCCTTAGCCTTGTTTACTGCTTCAAAAACCTACAGGAAATTGGAGCAAGAAAATCATTCACGAGAAACCCTAAATACATAATACAATAACGACACCAATAAGATCTCAAACATATATATCTTTCCCAAAATCCCAACTCATCGTCCAATCCTTCTTATTATGGAAGTAGGCCAATTTTGCTTACCGGTGAATAATTGGTGATGCTTTTAATGGCTCCGGTTCCACCAGGAGTAGCCCTAGGAACCTCATTCTCAACGTACAAATTCATGCTAGGGCCACACTGTTATTTGAGCAAAATCAACAAGCATTTAGCAAAAGAACAGAAAAATGTGACATTGTAGCTTGTAAGTTGTCGGCATGCAACTTGGCATCATGTTACATATATTCAAACCTAGTATGTCTTGGATTTAACTTGCATCAATAAGCACCAGAAACAATTCTTACGAAGGAATGAAGCCCCCGCCTACCTTGTACCAATTTCCGATGGGAGAGGTGAATATGAGGAATGTGCATTCAGGGGCTGGTCCAATACCCAGAACAGCTCCACTTCCCATAAGCAGAGGCCTAATGTATAATGATCCTTTACCTGGTGGAGGCACCTGCATCAATAAAAAAAAACGAATTCATAAACATGATTAATTGACTCAATGTCATAATTATATACAGGGATTGATGCTACATATGATTAAATATGACAAATTTTGAGATATTTTAACAAAATTTGAGAAAAAAAATTCATGCAGTTACTTCTGATTTTCTTTGAAGGATGTTATTAGCAATGTTGTCAATAAATATATATTTTCTTTCATTTCATCAAATTGTCAGTAAATGACGAATAAACAACTTTTGCTAACTAGGTAAAATTGGAGGTTTCATACCCATCGCTGGTTGGCAAGGACAATTTTTTTTACAGCATCAACAAATACATCAACTGGTGGGGATGGCATGCAGAGTCTGTCTGCTCCATTTTTCATGCGCAGGGCATTCAGTTCTGGCCGAAATAGTTGAATGCCACCATCTGGCCTTCGATATGCCTTCATACCTTCAAACAATCCCTAATTAATGACACCACAAATTAATGGTTAATTAGTCGCTGGCAAATCTCTGTCTATTTTGATGTTAATAACATTGGCTTGCGTTGCAAGTAATGATACAAGAAAGATTACCTGCCCATAATTGAAAATTGCAGCAGATGGGCTTATCTCTATGTTTCCATAGCGACTTAGAGATCCTTCTGAGAAGTTATCTTTTCCAGAAATTTTCATGATATATATGTAGTCAGTTGGAGTGAGGCCAAACCCTAGCTTGTCCCAGTTGAAGTTGACATACGCTTCGTCATTATTTCTATTCAAATAAATGCATATACAAAAGAAAAGAAAAGGTAAAAGGTAAGACAATGAATACAAGTCTAAAGTTGAAGGCAAAAAACAGTCAAATTGTTGATTAACTAAGATGAATATTAAGGGGTAATCTAAGTCGCGTGATATGGGGTATGTTCTCTCGTAATTTTTCAAACCGTGAATTTGAAGTCTGGCAAATAATATACCGTGTGTTTGTCAAGAGAACATTACCTCGTGCAAGGTCTCAAAAGTTTCATTATACCATACAACAACGATAAATTATCAAAACTTGAACTTATTTAGTGAAAGAAAATAATCGCATTTATGAGGAAAGGAGATGAAAAATAAACCTAGTATCCATAGGTGGCTTTGATTAATGTACTCTTTGAGAATCTGCAATTAGGGTGAATCACGCAGAACAAGTACTATTGGAAGAAAAGAAAGCAAGTGTTGAAGGTAGTCTAAAACTCTCAAGTTTGCCTAAATATATATATGTAGAGAAGAGGTTGAACCAAAAAAAAAAAAAAGACTCCACAACACAATGACAGCGTAACATGTAAGATGTGATCTGGAAGCTACTTGAAATTACTGGTCATCCTGTTATTTAATTGTTTCTTTTGTTGTTCTTGCTTTGGTGTATTTTACTGTTTTTAAAATTATTTGCTAATAATTTATTTACAAAAACTAAACTTTCAATATAAACGTTCCCTTTTTTTTGGGAGGAAGTTAGGCAGGCCACTCACTAGGCCGTTAACAAGAAACAAACTAGACAACACTGACTTCTCTAAAATTTGAATAAATACCTGTGGGACTAATTGGGAGCATTATATAGTCAGTTATTGACCAAAAAAGAAAACGGACAAAAACTTCGGTTGAACGTAGACTTTGGGTTCAAATGACACGCTATTTGCACTCACCTAGAAGTTTGTACACAATTTTGTGAGAATTTTTTTTTTTGTTTGAGTACAAGTGAGACACTACCATGAAGGAGAAGATTTCAATTTGAGATGCAGTGTGTAAAAGAGGAATGCTTTAATCATCAGGACAATTCATTGCTTACATTTTTATGAAAGATTAGTAGTGTTGCCATTTGCATTCCTTAATTGGGGGTGGAAAATACTTCTTAAAGCATGAAATTTTCTTATCCCTTAATTACTTGGTGAATTTAAAAACACGAAAATAACTCATTAAATTAACATTGCATTAATGATTTGTTTGAATTTACTCCATAATTCAAGTAATATACCTACAAAAAATTCGTTTAATAAAAAAGTTTAATTTATCGAACTATGATGAAACCACATGCTACTCCTAACGAAAATCATGCTCTCTAGGGTTTCTTAGGGTTTCCTAAGTATCGCTAGTAGAGCGACAGCAAGTCTGATTCGGCGGTACCATCGTTGTCACATTGGTTCCTTAGGATTTGTGTTCTTCCAGTTTGTGTCCTTTTGGATGTTGGGCCATTTTGCCCAGTTTGTTGGAAACTAGTGTTGGTGGGCTATCAACGGGGGTTGGCGAGTCGTCCAAAGGTTTATGGATTGCAGCGCGGCTGGCGTTGACCAGAGAGGAGGAACGAGTAGTGGTGATTGATGACAAGGAAGGGTCTCTTCTCAAGACGACCAAGGCCTTCTTAGTGGGGAAAGTGCTGACTCGTAAGCCAGTTGTCAAGGAGAGATTCAAGCGGCGAATAATGTTGAAAAATTTAATAATAATATTATTATATTAAATTTATTAATTGAATGGAAATTAGAAGGTTGAATGGTCACATGTTCTATAAATAGGGAAGTCCCTTATAATTACAAAATAACTTTTCATTGTTTATATAATCATACATATAATGCACTAAATATTAGAGAGTCTCATTGAGTTTATATGAGAGAGTTTTCAACACAATCACGGTTCATGGAGCCTTGTGATTTGGAGTGCTACTATTACAAGCACGTGATCGTTGTATATTGGGAGACATGCGCCGATCAACCATGAGCATTCTAGTGGAGCATAAACTTGTCTTAAGGACAAAGTGTCCAACACTTGTCTCGACAGTATTTTCTAGGTTTTTCTAATCTATTATATCATGTTTATTTAATATTGGTTATTTATGTGCATGCATTATTGTGATATATAATTGCATGAATTATTTCTTGATTTGCTATGTGATTTATTATAGCAATTAGACCTTAATTATTCCAACAATCTTAAGACAAGATTATGGTTTGATTGCTATGTTTGTTTGAGAATAATATTCTATCGTGTATATTAATGCGTGGATTTTCTTTTTCATGGTAGAATGTTTTGGTTTCTAGTTTTGCATAAAACAGTACATATGTTAACTGTTTCCAAATATATTGCAAGTTAATTTGATTCAAAAGATGCCATCTCAAAACCTTTCATCATTATTTTGTTCGTTTGTTTATAGTTAATTGAACCAAATATTCTTTACAAGTTTATTGGTTTATTGCTATTATAATTTGGCTTGTGGGTTTTAATATTCTCGACAACATTGGTCATGCACTGCTTTGAAATCGATTGTGATTTTCTCCTGTTTTGCGAGTAATGAAGGCACAGAAAAGTTATACTAATATATATACCTGCATATATGCATTTTATTTCCTGACATTACACTAATTAAATTCATGTATTTGTTGACAATGAGTTCATTAATTTCAATTCTCTGAAATATGCATGCAAAAGGATAAAGGTTTTGTTTCACAACTTTTGTTCTAGTAGTCTCAAGTGTGTAAGGATTTTAAGATTGGTATGTAAGGAAAACTTATCTTCTGAAGGGATGCGTTTTTTAGACTAGGTAGTTTTACCATGCATTTTGCATAAGATACTTATCTTTGGCACTGAATATTATGTTAAACGTTATGTCCTACCGTTGGTATGACTGCATATACAGTAAAGGCCTTTTATTCATGTATGTTGTTCAATCTCGGATATTGCTTTGAGATTTATACATATGCTATTATTACATTTGGCTGTTTGAATGGTTGTGCTATGTACATCAGTTGCATTGCAATGAAAGGTTGGCTGCCAACCCAGTGGGTAATCACTGAATATTGTCATTTCCTCGTGAACCTGTATAAAGATAGTGTGGCGACGAGGATGTGATCCTTCAGGTTTTCGTTGCTTTACAAATTATTGTGATTTAAGAACACAACCTTTCTTGTTTTAAACATGAACATACATGACTGTCCAAAGGTCAGTGTGCTATATGATATGCTACTGCGAAGTGAGTTTTCCCTGACTCATGATTATTCATAAAGAAATCAATTTGACATTCTGTTGTGACAATAAAAGTGACGTTTTATGTCAAAACATTTGGTCTTTGGAAAGGAAAAGACTAGACATTAAAAAGTGGGATATTTGAAAAAAAATGTATTAGACATGATGATGCTTATTAAGTAAGCATATGAATGGTCATGCATGTTAATCATAAGAAGGAAAGGATAAAAGCCAAGAAGTGTTTTTCCCATAATGGCTAGTGAGGCATGAAGGCCTAAGAAGAGAGATATATAAGGTCTATCCTAGTTGTTTCCTACTTCTTAAAAGAAAAAAAAAAAAAGGTGATCGATTTAACGATGACGTTAAAATTAACCACAATTATCGAACAATTGTGGGGGTAGCTTATCAATTTTTGAGATATGAAATTTATTTAAGAAGAATGGAAATATAATTTGCTAATTGAATAAGACAGTCAAAATGTCAACTCTTGTAATGAGTAATTATTTAAGGTATGGCAAGGTTGGGGACCTTCTTATAAATATCTTAAATGTGGGGGAGCTTACTCAAGTGTTAGCAAATTACTTATCAAGTTCGAACACATGTTTGGAGGAATTACATTGGAAAACAACTACTCTCAAAGGAAATAATTTCCATGCATGGATATAAAGTTTGTGATGGCCATTTAATGAGTAGTCAACCTAGTGGTACCAATTTTTAAAGGTTTGACTAGAGAGTAAGTTGTATCATCGAGGGGAATGGGTTAAAAGCCTACGTCTTAAGAATCGCTATAATGGCAACCCAACCTAGTTGACTGGATATCCTAAGATCTAGGTTCAAAGGGACAACTGAATTGTGGATGATTCAATGAGAGCACTGCGGAGATTACCTCTTATCTATGTCCTAAGATGAAACAGTGCTATATGCAGTGTATTTAGGATAAGTTTTGCTTTTAATGATTCCTATACTTGGAAATAACAAGTGGGGTATTGCAGGATACTCTTAATGGGAAGTCACCTATCTTGAGTGAGGAATGG